ACCATATACGCATAATCCAGGAAAGGGAAATTTAGAGGTTCATTTAATAATGTAAGAGCACAAGAGATAGTTATAGGAAAAATATCTCTAAATTCAGAGGAGGGGGAGGAAAGATAAGAGGGGCCAGGAGATCAGTGGTTTTACTGGTCAAGTAGGCTACCTTTTAGGAAGATGGAAAACTGATTTTTTTCGTGTGTGTGTGTGTGTGTGTGTGTGTGTGTGTGTGTGTGTGTGATAACTTTCAAGAGAGATACAGAATATTTAGAATATTCTTTATGGAGCTTGTCTTACCTAGAATACAAGTCAGATTACTGAAGCATTACTGAAGAAGGTATGCTGTTTCCTGAACATATAAACCTTTAGAGGTATGTTTCTAGACTCTTTCTATTTAATTTCCCCTTTGTTTCTCCTAAAGCAAGACCACAAACTGTCAACTGAGAAAAGGAGAACCCTGGGGTGATATCCAGGGAGCTGCCTCTAGTCTGCTGGCATCCAGCTAGAAATTCACCTCCCCAAAGAAAGAAAATCAATATTAATAGAACAGCAACTGTTTCAAATACGTGATTTTATGGGTACACTCAATTTTCAAGTTCCTAAAATCTTTATTCATGACTAACAGGAAGAAAATGAACACCCGCATTTACAAGGCACGTTCTGTGAAGAGTGGTTTTTTACGTACATCATTTCATTTAAAAGGATTTGTTGGGGCAGTCAGACTGGCTCCAGCTGAAACAGCCCAATTACTAGTAAAAACTGCCTCAGGCCTTAAGGGCCGATGGGCTTTAAAATCCATGATGTTAGACTGGATATCAGCATCCTTACAAAGACAGCCAGAAAGCAAACTACACACATACTATTCCTAACAGCATTGCTAAGTGGCATGCTACTCATTTACACTTGAGGTACAGATGGAATGAGAAACATACCCATGCTTTCAAAGTAGCCAAATGGCAAATGGGCGCAGGCCAATACAATTAGGACATAAGTAAGCAACAAAGTAGTCAAAGAAAAGTGGTTAGCGTGTGCAGCTCTTCACGGGTTCCTGAAGAATATTTATCAATTCAGGACTCAGAGAAAATAGAAAGCAAGTTTACAGGTGTAAAACTACCTTGGTTTTCTGTGTTTAGGAAATTTGTATCATATGGTTTTGATTCTGTGCAATCATTTAGTTCTTGTGAGGAGGGTTGCTGTACAGTGTACTTCAATAATTATCTAGAGTTATCAAAAGTGGCCACATATAAAATGCTGGGACTTTCGTCCCAAGCATATGGAGTCCGTCTTCAACTTTGTTCTATCTATTGGTACTTAACCTGGTTCTGGATAATAAAGGAGGGACGGAGCTTTGGATTTGATTATTTGGTATAAGCTAGACATCTATAGGTAATTCAACAGCAAAACAAGGTAGCTCCCATCTAAATGCATGGCTTGTTAGTTCTTCAAGTATCGCAAAAAATATTTTCAAGCTCTACAAAGTTATAGGAACATTTCTAGATACTGGGAATATCAACGTCTGAAAGACTTTAGACAGAGAGGAGTAATTGAAGCTAACACTGAAAGAGCTTATAGTGCTGTTTAAGGTGTCTGTGTTTGTTTCAATTTCACTGCTGTGACAAATTATCCTGATCTTTAAACACCCTGGGGTAGAAAGGTGGCATATACATCTAGGATATAGTTCATGACAGCAGAGAGGTCGAAGTGGCAGGAGCTCAATGAATCTAGTCCTGCCACACTCACTTTCAAGAGGAGAGAGAACTACATGCATTCAGGCCTGCTAGCTTGCTTGATAGCTTGCTTGCTTGCTTGCTTGCTTGCTTCCTCCTCTCTTTTACAAGACCCCTTGCCTTGGGGATGGTCCATCCCACAGTGGGCTGTGTCTTCCCTCATCAACCTATGCATACATACTTGTGTGTTCATTACAGTGAATGAAATGATTTTAATCATGCATGTAAAAGCCTGAATTTCCCTTTTACAAATTCACTTATTGACAAAAGACACACAAAGACAGAAACTCATCACTCAGAAAATGATGAATACTTCTGGGATTTTGACTTTAACTGCAGAATCCACCAGAATTTATTGTAAATTAAACAATGAAAAAGTTTTATTATACTAAGGACAGATTTCAACTGGGCCATGGTGCCACGTGCCTTTAATCCCAGCACTCGGAAGGAAGAGATAGGCAGATCTCTGTGAGTTCAAGGCCAGCCTGGTCTACAGCGCAAGTTCCAGGAGAGGCTCCAAAAGCTACAGAGAAACCCTGTCTTGAGAAAAAAAATCATTCTTAGCTTCCTGAATATTTTTACTAGGGTAAGATTGAAGGTAATCTACAACCTGGCAAAGTTTATGCTTGTTTAGTCATCTAAACATAGCTTCTGACCTATGTAAAATCTCAGTTTCCTATTGAGAAATCATAATCTCTTATTTTTAGTTTCTACATTTGTAGGCAGATTGTCCCATTTACTTAACGTAGAGTGTTAAACTATCACTGGTTCTTACAAGATTTTAAGGAATTTCCATCCATCCCTGTCATTTCCTTTACTTGGAAAGGTACACATCTATGTAGTAGGAACAGGTCGATCCCAAGTGCTCATGAATGTGTTAGAACGTGGGCACTTCCCTGGTGATACAAACAGCTTTGCTCGCCATTTCAAAGTCCCGAGATCAGATAGAGACTGCCTCATGTGAACTTGGAGATGGACCATTTCTGTGCAGTTTGAAAACTAGTTGTCAATCATCGACTTTTTAGTTCAATTAATAATTACAAAAAAATGTCTAATACTGAGACTTTAAGATCAATGCCTTACAAATAAGGCATTTTTGATGCTACACAATTTGATATGGAGGAAATTAAAATGCCTTATCAGTGAATGTAAAGCTGTCTCCCAACCGTTATTTTCTGCAGTGGGACAGGAATAAATTTTGTCAAAAGTCTGAAGTTTACCACACGTCAAAATAATAATAATAATAATAATAATAATAATAATAATCAATCTCTACTTCATTCCCTGAATTTCCACTCATACCACAAGAGTAGCATTATAATGGCAACAGAAACAAGCTTACAGCTTTGTCACAGAGCATAGCTCATCACTTTCCATTCATAGACATTAACAACACTGTGTGTGTGTGTGTGTGTGTGTGTGTGTGTGTGTGTGCGGTGTGTGCACAGGTGTGATAACCAGACATTTACACGTGTTGTTGCTTGTTGTTCCAGTACATTGAACTCCTTGAAAGCTCATTTAATGTCCTCAGTCCCTGACTCCCTGCTCTCCTATAGAAAAGGCTTTGTGTTTTTTGTAATCATATGAGCTCACTGCAGGCTGACAATCCTATGATTATTCTCTGTGACTTTCACCCCTTTGTGCATTAATGAATTTGCACGCCTTTTTTTCTTTCTTGTCAGTTCATTTCAGTCAGAGAGAAATGGTTTCTTAGCCCACCGTAGCATTACTTCTCATGCATTATTTCCACTCAGGGTTAACACATTGTATGTTTCCAATAATTCCCAATCACTCATGCTGTTAATGCAAGCTTCATTTATTTCCTCATAATATATTTCTTTCATTCATTAGTTCATTGTTTATATTGTAACTTAATGTCTCTACAAGTAATGATTTTCATTCAAGAAATACCAATAAAATAATATGGAAAGGTTATATAAATGTCACTGCTTTCCTGCAGATTTTATATATTCTTCTGAACTCTGAACATCTGGAAGAATTTCTACTATAAAAGGAAATAATTCTACTCATGAAGTAGTATTCGTTGAAATAGTATTTGACTTGCCAGAGAGAGGCTTGACAAAAGTGTAAAAAGGTCCTTCTATTCACACATTCACATACACAATACCTCCAGTTTCCTTTCTGATATAGAATTCTGGATCATAAGCATAAGAAGGTCCATATTGGCTTTTCCATTCTTCATACTTGTTTATTATAAAATCAGTCACTGGCAGTATATAAAGCTTCAGAAACCAGTGCATGCCATTTAGAAAGCAAACTGCCCTTTTAAGCTATGTAATAGATTATATTGCAGAAAAGAGTATGAAAGTGTAAATTCCTTTTGTTCTTAAGAGTTACATGAGAAGGTCACTTAGTACCTTGAAGTTGTGTGGAAATATCAAGGAAAGAACACTCAAACTGTTTTGTTAATATAGCCAAAATACTTTAAATTTTTATTTTGATATTCAGGTCCATCTTTGACACCTGAAGGCAATCATTATATTTAACTTGCAACATTAATTGGTTAATTAATCACAAAGCTGGTTAGCCTTTCAATGCTGATCCTTATGCTTCAATCTTTGTTATTGCATAATCATTTTAATGCCTCAAAATTTGATCGTTTTGTAGAAATAAGTAATAATACTGTTGAAAAAAATCATAGAAAATTTTAAAAAGCTATTAAAATTACAACAATGTCCTACCATTTCTGGAATTGAATTATTACGCAATTACTTATTCCTAAAAATATTCTTCCATATAAATTATACTTAAGTACTGAGAAATTTACAAAATATAAAAAGTATAAGCAAAAAATGATAATAATAATTTCTACCTCACATCTTCAGTCTTCATTTACTTTTTAATTCTAAACAACTAGGTCTGTGCAACTAAAGTAGGAAGACATTTACCATTCAGTATTGTTTCATTACTTTTTTACTTAAATTTATTGACTGTTTACTAAGCTATTCTGTTTAAATACAAGTTAAAAAATTTCTTAGTATGTGTTAAAATAAATAGGAATGTCTGTGGGAATATCATTCTTTTTTTGGGTAGAGAATAAAAAAGATTTTTCAAATGTCTACTTAAGATGTTTTTTCTCATTTTAGGTGAAAAGTGCTTTCTTATAAAACTTTATCATACACAATTTTCCATGATATTCTGGTAATGAGTAATATTTTATTTTAGATCTTAGGGTAATAAGAACAATGAAACAGACATTCTGCATGTTTAAATTTTTACTTTCCCTTTTAGAGAAAGGAAAAGGCCAGCAGTGCTTACCTGGGGATATGATATAGAAGAAATCTTTAAATTCGTCCATCCAAACTTCTGCCAGTCTTCTGTTGTTCTTGTTAATGACATGGCCAGTGCCACCAGGGAATGTATATGGAGTTGCCTTTCGGAAAACATGACCAACGTGAGAGCAAGTCACAATCTCCAAAGAACCTCCACATTGCCAGATCTAGAGAAAAGAGCAATCCTATGTAAGAGCCAATAGAAACTATACAATGAGAATACATAGCATGAATAAAGTTTCAACCATGCCTACAGATAGATGTTACACATTTCAACAAAATAACACATAGACACAGACTTTTAAGCTAAGATAATCACATTTTACAAAAGAAGATAGTCTCTTTAAACATTTGTAGCACTGGGACTTTGGAACTAAGATGCAGCTCTTTTCATGTCATTTTATTTGGTAACTAGAGTTATAGTGTACAGTTGTTACTCAGTTATTATTTAGCAGATAATTTGGCATCCAGATTCTGATACAACCGAATCTCATTGTGAATTGATATAGATGATGCAATACCAAAAATCTAAATTTGGTTTGAAGAAAAATCTATTAATTACCCTCCGTCTATTTGGAATTGCAAATGCTTACCCACTCTCAGACATCATTTTTTTTGTAAATCTTATACAATTGGATGTCAATACTCTTACTAACATTCTGTGATGCTTTTACTTCTGCTTACTATGTATCTTTCAAAATAATATTTCTAGGACATACTTTGGAGAGACTGAGTATTGGTTTACTTTTATACTGTAAACATTATTTTAATAAATAACTAAAAGTATTATTGTGAACATTTACTCGTTCAAGAAAAATATTTTTAAGGAAAAGTTTTTTGAAACCAGGAACTCTTGGAAAACATAGCTTGGATATCTTGATATTCTCAGATCTACTCTGTAGTTGAAGGAAGGTGCTATATAAAGTTTTCACAAGTATTTATTTCAGTAAAATTTCACTGCATAGCCAAAGGCCTTACTAGTATCTTGGACCTCGATATTGGTGTATTGACAGTGGTCCCATGTTAATAAGTTCTGCATGTGTGTATTCAATCAATTATGGATTGAAAATATTGGGAAATGCTATCTTTATTAAATGTACACAGTATTTTTGTTGTCAAAAATAACCAATAGGTACAGTAAGGTAGATCTTTGAGTAAAGGCCCTCATTCTGCATTGTGACAACCTGAATTAAAATTTCAGAGCCTGAATGGTGGGAAAAGAGAGCTGATTCTAGTAAGTTGTGTTCTGACAGTCAAAAGAATCCATTTCATAATGTATACAAACAAAATGCTAATGTAACAAGAGAAAAACATAATAAAACTACTACATAGCAATGTTTACATCATACTAAAAATACAATCTTCAGATATTTTGAAGTATAGAGAAAGTTATCAAAAAGTCATATGCAAGTATTGTGACTTTTATGTAATGGACTTTTACAGTCACCATTCTTGGTTCACTGTGACAAGACTTAGAACTAATTGTCCCATCCCCATATGAAGAGAAGATTGCCCGTCTGAGCAGGATTATACTAGTGGAAGAGATGAGAAATATAACACTTAAGCAGAAAGCAGAATAGTGGGCTTCTTTATCACTCTCAAAGGACAAGCATATTTTCCTAAAATATTTTATAGACTCACAACTCTTCCACCATTGGACTATAATACCTACAACCCATCTTGCAATTGTAGAAACCTTCACATTCTTCCTTTGTTTAAATAAAAGCAGTTGATCATTTTTCCCACAAGGATAAATTAAGGTTTACAGTCAGTCTAGACACATTCCTTATATCTTTTAAATGTATCTGATTTAATCATGTCTCCTGCAGTTCTCTTGATATCATGAATTCACCCTACAAATTACATACTATGATTTCAGAGTAGGCATCTTAAATATCCAAAGCTAATGAAAAAATCTATAAAACATGAAGAAATCATAAATTGTATTATATTGCCTCCATCATACTTCATTTACACCCATATAAAATCGCATACACTATATTTTGTAGACATACCACATTTTTTTATTTTTCTACTCATTGGAGAATGATGTTCATCTCTGTATCTTCCTTAAAACATGTGTGGTGGAAGCCAAAAATGTTTATGTAGATGAGTCATGTAGTATACTCCATTTCTGGACACTCCTTTCCCATGTGTTACTTGACACTTTTCCCTTCTTTAAACTATGTTTTTTGTATGTTGTTCTCCATTTCTCTTCATAGACTCAAAGTTAGTCTCATTTGTTGTATAAACATAGAAGCAATATAAATGATGATAACTTCAACTCTTATATCTCAACATAGACTTTTCCAATGGAACATGAATTAGTATAGCAAAACATTTACTGGCCACATCTTTTTTTTGGGGGGTTGCCTCAGAGATAACCAGATATGCCTGTCCATAAGTGAATTTTTGAGTCCACCATCCTCTACCAGTCTGATCATATTTTGTCCAAAGAATTTTTAAAAAACTATTAATGGTTAAACCAATCTCCCAGATGGCCGGTAAAATTAAATAAGAAATAAAGTAAAATCAAACTCATTGACATAACTGATTTCTCCTTAGCTTTCCAAAAATGCATTCAACCCACTATTCAACCTTGATAATATTGTCTGTAAAATAACTTACAGATGACTCGTTTGCTCAGGATGCTACTAAAAAACACCATATCCTGCCTAGATGATAACTTCAAGAACAGAAATGCAGTTTTAATATCTGAGAAGTTGGGACATCAATGATTATCGTACAGTGAAAGCTATGCTGTCATTCCTTCCACTTATAACATCTCCATGTCTTTTGGATTAAGGTTTCACCTTCATGAACTAATTGCCAACTACTTATAGATCCATTCTCCAAGTATAGTCACATGATTGCACTCTGAAAATTTAATTCGTTCTAAGAAATTAGAAAGGACTTTTTATAAAAAAATATGTGACTTTGCTTCACTACTTGAATCCTTCAATGAACTGAAAATATAAACAAAATTCCTTCATAGTTCTTCTAAGAAGATCCATAAGTCTTTTCATCTATAAATAATCTGCTATTTTCTAGAATCACATTACACATTTTATATCAAAGCCTTCTCACATCCTTACTTTATACCTATGGAATTTTATCCTGACCCTTTTCCATTAAATGAGTAGCCCCTTTCTCATTCTTATCCCAGTCAAAGCATCATCTCACAAGAGCCATTTCTGCAGCCTGGGTAGATACTTCAATCATGCTTGTAGTATATTCCCTCCTGCATGAGATAAAGTCCCAGAAACAATGTTGGATGATGTGCCTGTGTGGGCATTAGCACAAAGTTCAACATAGACACTCACACATACACATAAGCTGAAAAGCAAACCAAAAGATTTTTGAAAGAGAAATTTTCTGTATCCTTGTTTTTTTTTTTTGGTGTTGTTGTTTTGTTTTGTTTTGTTTTGTTTTTGCCTAGGTAGACTATAAAAAGGCAAAGATGGCTGGCCATTTTTGTAGGCCTGAGAGCCAAATATCAAATTATGTACATCTTGAGGCAGAAAGACAATTATTACGCTGCCAAAATGATCAAATGAATCATTTAAAATTTAGCTATCAAGGTTAATATGAGAAAAAAATCACTGCTGGAAAAATGATTAGATAAGCACCTTTGGGATGCATACAAGTTACATATTGTGAAGTTTTAACCATATGGATTAAGACAAATTACCTTGTCAAATGTGAGCTATTACATAGTTCTTGGAAATTAAGGGAGTTATTTGGAGGGTACCATACAGCACAAAAGTAAAATAAAATCTAATTCACTGCTCATGGTGAATGAGGCTGTTGAGCGACACAATAGCAACCCTATAAGCACCACTGACATCCTTAATATGGAATCGCACAGTTATCTCAAATTCCCTAAAAAAAGTTTAAGCAGGGTTCTCAGTATTTTCATTATAATCAGGTCTTTCTTAAAAGTGACAGTACTTCAGAAAAATTACACAGAAATTAGTGAGCCAGGGAATTTACAGTCTTATTATTATAAGGAGTTCCATACTAATGGGAAGAAAGGTTTTCCTTCTTTTCCACCACCAACAAACCAAGAAGGGAGGTTCAGTGCAAAAACGAGAAACTAGCCTTTCCCTACCAGAGTGAATTCTATGACTAGCAAATGGGAAAGCTACTCCAGTACTGCCATTTGGACTGAGAAAAATGTGCTTAAAATGTTCTTGGAAAATCATCAAGCATGCAATAAAAGCTGATTTTCATTTTCTAATGCAATAAAAATGGTGTCTAACCTAAAGAATCTAAAGAATCTGGTTGCTATAGCAGAACTGGCAGGTGAAAAGATGACGGGACTGGAAGTGTATCTAGCTTCAACTCGCTTCTGGACCTTACATATCGAACATGGTGCATAGAAAAGAGAGGTATAGACTGGAGGTCTAGGTCATGAACAAGTGTTTGCACAAGTGAGAAAGACAGCTGGTGGTTCTCTGTTATGACAGAGATTAAAACCATATTTCCACAACTCTTGGGGGTCAGAGAGATTGTGCAAAGCTAGGCAAATTTTCAGAAAATGACAAAAAAATGAGCGTTGAAGATGATCACTATCAAGAACAGGTGGATCTATATGGAGCCAATCACAGACACTCATAAACGAATATGATTACGTGATCTACTATTTATCCAGCCCTCTCTTTTGCCTGACATGAATGGAGAGAGAACATGAATATACACTCAAAGGTCTTCTGTCATCATGGGCCCATGAGCGAGAGACACAAATGTCAGCTACTGTTTACATAACAAGGCCTTTACAAAGAACAGAGGGATTTTTAATAATTGCAAGCCGTCAGAAATCCACAGAGTTTGTCATAAATGGCAAGCATTAGCGCTGCAAAAACTGCTGTCTTTGAAAACATAAACACACGATTGGAGAAAAAAATTAAGCGTTATGAGTGAATAGCAAGTTATATACCACAACAAATTCACATCGTACAATGCATCCCCCATCAAGCAATTATTGATACCTGTTCTAGGAATTCTTTCTCTCTACTTTTATATTTTATATTGCAAATGTGCATTAGCACTGGGGTCATTGCGACACCCAGGTGTCTCTGTATCTACTCTGTCAACTCCTGGCACTCTCCAAGTTTGTAGTCTTATGAGTTCTATGTTAATAATAGGGCTCAGGACATAATAACCT